GGAGGGGGGAGGCTTGCTAGCTGCCGCAGCTCCTGCCCCACCCTTTACTCTCTGCGGGTTTCTGAATTTCACGAACTGCTGCCCTCTGCCTTGTGCCACCCTACCTTGGAGCCAGCCTAGTATGGACTGAGACCTGCACAAACTGAGCTAAATAAACCCTTCCTTCCTTAATTATAAGAGTCAGATATTTTGTCCCAGCAACGAAAGTAAGATAACTAAGACATGTATCTTCAGAAAAAAATGGACAGTAAAATATACAATGATACTAGCAAAAAAGAAGACATGAACATAAAATTCTAAATGTTAGTTACCTCAGGGCATGGGGCAAAGAAACACAGTTGGTTCCTAGAGCAGTTCCAGGCAAAAATGTGAAGAAAATTGAAGACAATAAAATAGTTCAGTATATGCCCATATAAACCTCAGGAATTACTTTCTGTACTTGCAAGAAAATATAGGGGTGACTGTGTAGAACTGAAACATTCTAACATTTACATAAATATGAACTATACATAAGCCCACCCTAGCTACACACACACACACACAGACCCCATTTGGGTGAGCTGACGGTATAGTCTTGGGGAAGGGGTTCTTGCTATCACCACTACCGAAACTCAACAGCTGCTCAGGGCAAGGAGGGAGCTAGGACATTTATAAATATATACACATACGAATATAAAATAAATGGCTGAACACAATAGGGACAGACATGCAAGGGCTTTTGGAAAGAGGGGAGACGATGTCACTGCGCTGCTGGCTTCCACAGGATCTCCAGAGTTAAGTGCCTGCAGAGCACTTGCCTACATCAGGGCCCTGCCATGTTTGGCCCTTTTCATAAGACACGCAGAGCAATTTAATTGGAAAACGAGCGTACAAAACTCTAAGCAATCGCTGAGATATGCAATCTACAAAACATCCACGATAAGAAACTAGACTGAGAGAGCCAAGCAGCACGTTCAGACGGCAGCCTGGGCAGGAGCTCGGGCTCAGCCTTGGTCTGGCCACAGCCTACAGGCGGGCAGGGCACTGAGGCTGGCAGGGCGCTGCGAGCGGACCCCAGGGTGGGAATTTTCCAGTTTTCAAAAACTGGGACTGCCCTCCTTTTTTAAGAAAGCATGAGGGTCAGGGAGATGGATCAGTGGAATAAGTGCTTCCCTGGCAAGTGCAAGGGCCTGAGTTCCATCCCCGGTTACACACACACAAATCTATGTTTTAAGAAAGTGTGAGCGCGTACATGTATTAGTCACTGTGATATGTCCTAAATAAAAGGGATGCTCGGGACAGCTGTGGACACAGAAGCTACACGAAGAGTGAAGGTCTCTGAAGGATGCTGTCACACCTAAATCATGCTCACCTTTATGCCATTTGGTAGGCTGCCGACAGCAAGACGATACTCTATTACAACGTTTTCCATTCCAAGAATGCTAATCACGAGGCATCAAACGTTCCGCAGTTTCAACTACAAATAACCATGAAGCCCCATTTGGGTTTTCTTCTTTTCAGTGATGCAGTAGCTCACAGAAAGTGCATTTCTCACCGGGAACTATAAGGACAGCGAGTTTTCTGCTGCTCACAGGCACGAGTCCTCTTTATTTGGGGTTACCTCACTGGTGATACATGCAGAGTTCACGCCACTGAAATTCTCATTCTGCACGTGGGAGTGCCTGCCACGTGTCCACCCTCAGCCACCCCAGCATGCCGGGAGCACCAAGCCATAATCAAGCACAGCCACCTCACCAGCCACCTCCTTCCCTCCCTCAAGCAGCATCCGATACACCAGACGATGGTGACTGGGAGCAAGGACGTGACACCAGATATGGCTTCAGGAGTGACAGGTCTCTAAGGAGAGCCTCAGAGAACGCCAGGCAGGACACTCATGCAGTGGCATCCTGCCTCACAAACTTAATTTGTTTTATGATTATGGAAAAGACAGACACTGTCATGCTCATGCAGGAAGGAAGGCCGTGGTCACGTTTGTCTCCAGATATGAACTCTGTAAACCCGGGCCTGCCCCTCAGCTCACTTGTTGAGTGGCTGCTTCCACAAAGCAGTCAGCCTCAGGTTGCTGTGGTTCGATCCCCACAAGTCCAGCCAGCCACATCTGCCCTGAGGGCATTCGGAGCCAGTCAAAAAAAAAAAGAAATTTGTAGACCCAACGAATTTTGCTGAGCACTTGTTCGTGACCCAAGCTGCGTACAACAAAAGCATGGTGACCCGACGGCTGCAGTGTCTTCCTCCTGCCATCTCGAGGGCACAAGCTCAGGATGTCGGGACGCTTGCGTCACTCGAGGGTCCGCGTGGCCCCGCACACGTCCCCAGAGTCTCCAAAGGTCACACCCAGCACAAAGGCGAGAAAGAGACTTCTGCAAAACCTGCCAGAACTGACCGTAGCGCGGTAGTCTTCCAACAGCACAGGGTACTGCATGATGGCCTCGAAAGCTGACAGCGTTATCTTGATAAACTCCTCGGATGCCGCCGACCCTGGGGACACAGGGCGGTTACCCAGGGGCTACGCGCACCTCCTCAGCCCAGCCCGAAGGGTTCCCGTGCAGGTCTGGCCACCTGGGCCCACTCACCCACGGCTCCATCTATGTTGCTTTCTCCTGAGTCCATGGACTTAATGTGACTCTGAAAAACATTAAATTCCCAATCAACAGAACTTTCAAAATCACACTGAAATAAAATATAATATATTGCACTAAACTGCTCCTGTTGTTATGAAATAAATTGTTAAAAACTCTGCACATAGCATAAATAGCAATCACAGCTTTCAAATAGCTTGGATTATATTCCAAACTATAAATAACAAACCATAATCATTAAATATGCAAACACCCTCAAAGGCACCAGTGCTGGTACCCATTTGGTGCTTACAGAAGACCGCACTGCAAGACTGAGCCAGCTGGCACCGACCTGCAGGACCGCACGACGCTCCAAAATGGGGAACCAGTGAGGTTCGCACACCAGGGGCAGGTGGTTCTGAAGAGCAGAGGTCTGGGCTGCCCAAGGACAGGCGACCGTTTGGACAGAGACAGTAATCTCCAGGCACCTTCAGGCCGCCCTGCTGTCCCCAGCTGCCCCTATGCCCCAGCCAACACCCCGGCCTTCGCTTCTACTGCATGCCGGCGCCCCGTGCAGGACGCTGTGGTGCTGTCCCAGCAGCTTGACCCTGTGACCAGGCTTCTCCCTGCTGAGCACCTGGGATGGAACAGGGGCTCTGCAGACAAGAGCCCGTGGGTGGCACTGCCCTGGGTGGCGGAGCCCCAGGCTTCTAAGGTGCAGACCATCCCTGCCCTTTGCTCATCAGACTATACATGTATTTTACGGAGACAAATCGCAAATTAAATGTCAGATGACCCTAAAACCAAAAATAAAATGTATAAGCAATTAGTGCAGAGTAGAAATTCCGGTTCTGGGAAATGTCTAGGAGCCAAATCTGCAAAGACACAAGACAAACGCCTGAGTACACCGACGTGCTCAAGCACACGTGTGCGGCTGTCCCGTGTGTAACGCTGACGTGCTCAAGCATGTGTGTGCGGCTATCCCGTGTGTAACGCCGACATGCTCGAGCACGTGTGTGCGGCTGTCCCGTGTAACGCCGACATGCTCGAGCACGTGTGTGCGGCTGTCCCCCGTGTGTAACACCGACGTGCTC